ATGGTTGGAAGAAAGTTATGGGTGGCCAAACCAAAATGTGGCATCAATGCTTACAGTCACTAACTTCTAGTCTGAGTCATGTTGGTAGATGCAGATTACTTGGTTGGGGTCCGCATGACTATCGTAACCAATGGTTGGAGACTCTGGTTGACATGGCTCAAAATCTATCACAATAGCGTCGATGTATACACTCTCTGTCATCCCTTAAACTCTGAGATTAAAATCGCTTCATATCTTACTTTCTACGAACTGATTCTTTCTTGCTGTACTATGTCCTTATATGCCATCTTCCTTTTATACATTGTCACCATTGTATTAACTACTTCTATGAATCCGGTGTTCATGTTGTTGTGCTAATGAGTGAGGTATGGCAACTTCGACCGATGTATATGTGTGTCTGGTCCTACATTACAGCTGACTAACTGTCATTATTCCCGACGAAAAACCATCTATAAATTAAACTTCTCAACGTAAAAGCATTTACTCTTGCCATCCTACTAAGTTAGTAATACAATATGAATGTAAATTCTTCTAAATTTTATAATCACATAAACAGTCAAATGACCTGCAAACAATGCAGTGTTATTATTCTTTTGTTTGTTTTAAAGTTTCATTCACACCTTAGTTTTTTATTTGTACATAATCCTAGTTTCTTATTTCAATATATAAGGGCTTCATTCATTCATTCATTCATTCATTCATTCACTCATTATGAATAGATTGATTTCATACGGTGGGATAGAGAATATATATATCGTGTAAATATTTCGTTGACCCTCATTTTAAACAAGCGTGTTTAATACAAAAATGCTACTATGTCAATTGTTTTTTTCAATAGAGAATTACATGAGCTATAGAATTAACTGATGTGCATAATCAACGTAACCTTGAAACGGAGATAGATCAATGGCAAAAGTTGTATACTTCTTCGTTTTGTTTTTATTTCTGGTCATAGATAAAGGTTTACAGTTTACAAAAGAACGGATGCTTATTTTAGAAAACGTTTGCTCAATTTTAAAATATTTTAATGGTTGAAATCATGAGTCAATTAAAGCTAAACCACTATGGAAAACCTGGAAGCATTGGACGACTGTTTCGTCCTACTGTGGGACTCCTTAGCAGTGCACACTCATGATCCCACCTCATGAGATTCGAACTCGGGTCCTATTAGTCTCGCGCGCGAGAACTTAACCATTAAACCACTGAGCCAGCCGATATCCAACGGTATTAATGTCTAACTTCAACCAATCCACGAAATTGAGCGACACATCCACCATTGTCGTCAGTGAGTTACTATCTCACATCGGACCCGGCTGAACTCCACTGGCCACAACTTATCACTAGAACTCCAGAAAATGCCTCTTGAAGCCAGTCACTAGTTTGCATATGTTGATTCATATCAGAAGGTCATTTCAATGGTTTAGATCATGAGTCAATTGAAGCTAGACCCACCATGGAAAATCTGGAAGCATTGGACAACCGTTTCGTTCTATTACAGGACTCTTCAGCAGTGTGCATCCACAATCAGATTTTAAAAAAACATAGGAATTTAGTTTAAACGATAACGTATACAGAGTAGATTATATTATCCCATGAGTGATGGCATTGAACATAATGTAACAGACTTTGATTTGTGTTAATTATCATCTCTAAACAACGATATCTAGAATCTTGAAGAGTCAACAAATCCTATACATAAGTACATACATATTTGCCTCATCTAAGTATATACATGTTCATAACATTTTTTTAATCAATTTACTTACCAATGGTTAGGTGTTATCAACATCGATTTGATGATTCTAGAACCCCCAATACTTTTGATTGAACATTAGTAATTTTCTGTTATCCTCCGAAATCAACAATTGAGTAATATACTTATGAACATCTAGATTTTTGATGAAACTTTTTATTTAATTACAATTATGTCATAGAAATATATTTGAACTGAGATCATCCTAGAATTATATCATACAACTATTCGAAATACAACATAAGAGTATAATCTTTTTACAAAATCAAAATGATATAGATTAAACATAAGAGATTCTTATTTATATCTGTACATTCTGTTATCAACTAACTATAAGAGAATTTGTTTGGACTTCTATTGTTCTTCATAAAATGTTATAAATAATCTTAATTCTTTTAGAATAAATGGATTCAGGATAGAAATGAAATTTAGAATGGAATTTTTGTTCTATTTAAAACTTTTCATCTGAATATATATATCTACATCCTATGGTTGATATAAACATGAGGACTTGAGTCTAACACCTTTCGCTTTGAGCGACACCCAATTATCCACTGGGCTTCTGAATTCGAACACCTAAAAACTTGCTCAATGATTATATTGTATATATCACTATTATTAAAGGTTTGAATTATTCTATGTTGCCAAAACCTGCAAGTAATCCTTATTTTTTAATCAGTATAGGTTTGAAACTTTAGATGGTAATTATACTCAGTGAAAAACCACCATCAATTCAGTTAAAACACCGGACATTCGCTTTTCATCCTCTCAGTTTCGTAAACAAGATAGTGAGGTAGGAATTCCCTGATAGTGGTTGTATGCACATGACTATGTGAGATCATTTCGAGAGGGAGAGCAAACTCTACTCACTATCGGGGTCGTTTCACTACCACTACTGTTACTAGGTCAAGTATTTGTAACAATATTCTCAATTCATTCTGTTAATTTTGTCTGACTTAAATTTCATTGTCAGTCAGTTTACTGTTTTATTTTGTTTGTAACATTTCCGTTATGATTTAACTATGGTTTATTTATTTATTTGAACACAGATATTGGTACAAGGGGGCACCAGATACATATGCGCCACACAAATCAAATGAGATTTGTGTGAGGGCTATGATACTACCCGAGTGCCCAAACCGAAGCAGGTGGTTTTCTTAGGGGACCACGAGCGAAGCCTTCGACATAAAGGTCTAATCCACAAGGCAGTGGAGCATCGTAAGGAGGTGCAGTCCCATGGAAGCCTGTGACCAACGATTGGTTCATACGCCATTTGTTCCTTCAGGATACTGGAGCCCATGTGCACCATTCGTTTGGAATCAGGGTTTTCCAACCCCCCTACATGGACTCTCCGTGCCCACCAACTCGATTAAAGCGCCGGACATTCGCTTTTCGTACTCTCCATTTTGTAAATAACACTTCTACCACGAGAAAGCAGTCAGTAGGACTTCCCTGGCAGAGGCTATATACGTGTGGCCCTGTGAGATCATTTCGAGAGGGAGAGCGGACTCTCCACACTTTCGGCCGTACCAGGGCATTTATGGGTTCGGTTAGCTCAGTCGGTAGAGCATCAGACTTTCATGATTTGACTAAGAAAATGTTGTCCTTCAATTATTTTGAGTCCAAATACAGAAATTAATTTTCTATCCCCTTCATAACTGCAAGTAAATTAATAAGAGGTAGCGACATATTTTATCAAATATTCGACATGATCATAAATAAATTAGGTTTATTGTAAAAATGATAGCTGTACGGACCTCTGTCAATAGTACGCACCAACGATGTCCACGTATAAGTGAATGTACTAAAGCCGCTTAGTTTCAAGGCGAGCGCAATATTGGGAAACGAATGAGTGATTACTAAACGATTCACACTTTACAGTCGTTATCATTGGGGTGATCAAACCAAGATATGACTTCAGTTCATGAAGTCATTGACTACTGGATTGAACTACGTTGATATGCGCAGACTATTTGATTGAGGTTATAGATGCATTCACACTGTCTTCCCTTGGATCTTAAGTTTTTAAATTATCTCACATTTTTTATTCCGTGAATTCATTCTTTATTATCAATTCACGTTACCTACACCTAATCTTTCTACTACTCTGGCATTTTTCTTGGCAATATCATCTCTTTTTGATGTCATTGTGTGGCAACTTGAATTGATAAATATATGTGCCAGGTCTTACTTTACTTGTGATTGACAAACTGATGGAATGGCATACCAATAGAGGAACCTTTAGAGGTCACACAGCATTAAACACTTGTTTCATTCTAGTGTTTGAGAGTCTACACGTATGGTCCCGCACAAGAACTTCAGTTTTCTTAGTAAACATAATAGCTCAAAACCTGTGAGATTAAACTCAGTGACCAACATCTCTAACTTCAGTCAAACTGAACTAATCTCTACAAACCATCCGACTAAATTATACCTTTATTTAATCTTGGTTCCTTTTCTCGTATATTTTCGAGTTTGAATATGGTCTATAGTTGCAGTAATAGTGTCCCAATGAGGTCATTTACTTAACTGCTAAGAGGATATGGAAGAGATGAGAGAAAATACATAAACTAATGTTTTAACTATGCATCATACACAGAAGTAGCATACATTTTATGCTAAAAGTTATTTTACACATCATTAATTTACTGACTAACTAGTTTACAAATACTAGAACGGAACCAGATAATTTGAGCAAATAAATTTCCCCATATGTTACGACATTATTAACTAATAGATAAACAAATTCAGTTTTTATTTGAGTTCTAAGAAAAGATAGGAAGGCAGATTTCAATCTAATTATTTGCAGATTAAACGCTCAATAAGACAACTGAATGTCTTGGGTTCGATCCCTCATGAGTGGTTACTGCTAAAGAGTCTAGAATGAAACAGCTGTTCAATTCTCTGTAGTTTGCAATGGTATTTCAACTTAGGTTGATCACATATATAATATCTACATAAAACTAGAAAGACTAATCAAAGAATATCTAACAGAATAATGATCCCTAGGATTATCTCCACTTTGGAAACTTAGTCAGCTAAATCAATGGACTTGTAGTCTGACTAGTAACCAAAACACTTAATCCAAATCAGATGCTGTGTAACATAACACAATGCTATCATCATCATATAAATATTAGGAAAATCGACATCTGTTCTTAAATGTAAGTCTAGATGAATAAATCACATATTAATATCACTTCACAATTTCATTATCTCATTTTGCCCTAATATTTATACGTTTCAGTTGATCGAGGTAATCGTCATTCGACTACGACAGAAACGCGAAGTAAAGTGACCGATGAGCTCCCAGGTCATAGACGCCATCCTCCACCGCCTCTTTCTCCAAACTCGAAAGAAGATATACACTATCCACGTGACGGGACTGTTAGTCGACCTCGAATTTCAGATGGTTCTAAAGCTGGTAAGTCTTAAAACCAGTTCATAGAGGAGCTGAGTTGATCATCTCTATAATATAAACGATATCTTGATCTCTGGAAACAATATTATTTAATAAACAACAGTTTTTACTATTATCTCGATGTGAAATAAACATAGAGTTCAAGTTAGGTGAACTATTTCTACGACAATAACACTAGTGCTCGTCTGTATAGTCATAAATTGCGAACTGCTGTTGGACAACTAGTGGAAACCAGAAAAGATCGGATAGTTGTTTCGTTCTAATGTGAACCCAGGGCACTCACGGTTGGAGACCTGAGCCCAACCCCTCGATCATTGAGTTGGCAGAGAGTGGCTATGATTCCTAACTTCACTAAACAATATCAGGCATGAAACAAGCATCGTTAATTGGAATGGATTATAGTTGCGCAATATCACAAACCAACCGTAGTTGAGGATGCGAACTACTGAGTCTCAACCCAGTGACATGGGAGTTAAGCTCTCGGCTAGAGGCCTGAAGTTTAATCCCCTGTTGTGTTGTATGTGTGCACTGTGAAAGTTTTGTATTAGGTCTCAACAGCTATCCCGTGCATTTCTAATTCTTAGTGGTTGCATATATATATATATAATATATAAACTTAGTAGAGCTACTAAATAAAGCTACCAAAAAAACTCTTCCCGACTACAATACTTTAGGTTGCCAATGAATGATCTAAGTGTCAAGATCTACCTATTTAGTATAATATTAGAGGAGAGTAAAAACCCAGGGCTTGATGTTACTCACCAACTACTTTTTTCCAAGCACATTCAAGGATAATGCAAATGAGTCTCTTAGGTTTTAAACGTGAGGTGCTTACTTCAAAGCAAACCTTACAAAAAATGAAATGGTTAGGAGTGTGGCAAATACAATGTAGATCTGCACAGAGGACAATTTCGCCATGAACAGTTAGAGCTTACCCATACTAATCATGGCACAAACGTGAGTTCTGGGAGCTTATAACGAGTTGAACCGACATAGTAGCAACCTGAACTAAATATCATAGCCGGTTGAGGCAAGTCACCAGATACCTTTAACGTTTTACGATTTTTGTGAAATCATATCGCGAATCGACCAGACACGCTGACGTCACATACTTAGTCACCACACCTTGAGGCTGCAAGCTAGGTCGGGTGAAAAGAGGTGAGACACAAAATGAAGCCCGTTAAAGGCCTATATGCTCAGTTCCCATTCGCGGACAAATGGTGCCGATTCACTACACACGCCATCATCATTACTACATCGTAGCAAACAAGCTAGCATGTAATAGAACAAATACCACGTTCAACAAGAATCCGACTAGAGCTTCCCTGTTATACCCAGCAGATAGTGCAACATTCTACGCATAAAATGCATCCCACACAAAACCCATTGAAACAGATGACAAAAACTGTTTATTAATGTTAACTAAAATATGATATCAATACAAAAACCTCAGTGCACAGACGAGAAGTAGGAGAGAGAAGCAACAGGATCGGGTACTATTGTTGCTGAATTTGGTTTCCAGTTCGCTGGACAAACTTCGCCATGTTTCTCAAAGAAAATAAAAGCATCCAAAAGACGAATCGCCTCATCAACTGATCTCCCTACAGGGCGATCGTTAACAGTAATTTGACGTAAAATCCCGTTGCGGTCAATGAGGAACATACCTCTAGAAACAAACAAATAAATACGGAGTCAGTTTACGGGCACAGACTCAGGATATGGCTCGTCTTTATGCAAGTACCGCCTGGGTGACATTTGCAATATGATAAATATAGCAGAGATGTGTTCATGAATTAACAAAACGAACCTGAATGCATGACCTTCCTGTTCGTCAAGAACCTCGTACGCTCGTGATATCTTTAGGTTTTTATCGGACAGCAAAGGTATATTCATTTGCCCCAAACCACCAGCTTTGCGATCCAATTTCGTCCATGCTAAATGAGCATAGACTGAATCAGTTGAGCATGCGATTACTTGACATTCTCTAGATTGGAACTCAGCAGCTCTTTCACTAAATGCAATTAATTCCGTTGGACAAACAAAAGTGCTGAAAGGAAAACATGGGTGTTAATTTAATTACGTGAAGTATTGTAAAATTGTTGAGAAATGAATTGTACATTTGACTTACAAGTCAAGTGGATAAAATACCAGTAACACATATTTTCCTTGAAATTGACTCAAACTAATTGGACGCAATTCCGTGCCAACAACGGCAGTGCCTTCAAAATTAGGAGCAGGCTGATTTGGTAATAACATATTTTTTAAATTAAAATATCCCAAACGTACGGAGATCTAAGTAAATTATGACGATCACATCAATGCGTCCTCTGTATTTAAACACTTCATTCGTAAGGGGGAAAACCATGGAAAGCGTGGCTAGCCATACAGACATGTCTAACTCTCGATACAAGCTATTGGTTCAAATCAACCAATCAACATTCTGACCGTAACCAAATAACCTTGAGTAGCCTAACGTGATTGATTGACTGAATTTTCTATCTCAATCGATTAAACCTTATGTTTTGTCCAGTGGTGTTTCTATCGCCTCAAGCACAGTGACCTTCATAATCTTACCTTAACATATTGAGAGCGTTTTTAGGTTATCTAATAAGTATTGTTTGGTAACTTTGCTGTCAAAATTACGCTTCGTCCATTACGAAACATTAATTTGCAATGAAAAGTACTTGATCAGTCGGCATAGTTAATGGTTATATTAAGGAAATTAGTTTCTCACAAATAATCTTTTTCGTTGTTGAAATGTTAGATCTAACCTTTTTTTACTACGATTACAAGTAGATTCAATATTATTTACAGCTTATATACTTACATACACCTATTACTCCCAATGGAACATAGGCCGCCGACCAGCATTCTCCAACTCACTATGTCCTGGGCCTTCCTTCTTATTCCTATCCAATTGTTCATTCTTATGTCTGTCTCCATTTCTTGGCGATTATTTACAACAGTTACCTCAAATTATTAATTTTTAACAAAGCAAAATAGGATTAGTGGAATAATGTAAAATTATTTGATTACAAGTCTTCCCATTACCTATTAGCACCTTAAAATGTACACACAGATGGTAATCGTGATAAAGTTCCATAAACAATAAATAATACGTGGATTAGGCGTCATACATGACTTTTAGTCACAAAACACCCGTCCTTTTACACGGTCAGTATCACGTGTTACAAACAAAGAATCCCACCGATTATTGAGCAAATTAAATTCAGAAACAATTTATCCATTGCGTGGTTATGAAAATACTATTCCGAAGAATTACAAACTACAAAATATGGTTGCCGAATGCTCCTGTGTTTTCAATGGTTCTTTTCCATCTGACAAAAGTTTGTGATGGAGACCATCGTTATACTTAAGAAATTTAATCTCTGAAGAAGTGACTTACACTAAGTCACGAAACGTCAGAAAATCCAATTTCCTACTCATTGGGATGTTACAAATATATTATTTCTGTTTATGACAATCAACCCAATGCTCAATTTATTCGAAATTATCAGATCAAACCTTAGTAATGACACCTTCATTCATCAGTTATATAATATACCTTTGTGAGCCAGGGTAATTTTATATTGGTTTTCAGGAGAACCAGACACTGTCCAGACTTTCATGTGACAACCCGGACAGTACAGTTCAATCTCGTTTAACAGGAGGGCTAGACGTCGCCCAGACTTAAAATTTGTAGCCCAAATAGTACTGCTCAGTCCTGTTTCCAGGAGAACCAGCCACCACCCAGGCTTAAAATTTACAACCCGAGCAGTACGGCTCAATCCCGCTTCACAGGAGAACCAGGCTTTAGCGCTACAGTCTAAATAGTACAACTCAATCCTGTGGCTCAGCCACACAGGTACCAATCACCCTGGTGGACCACTGCAAGCACCATAGTATATTAATATTTGATATTCGGAGTCAGTCTCTCGTGAATTGAGGCACCCACCCCTGTTCGTTATCAAAAAAATAGAGTTACTAAAATCAAACAAGTATTTGAAGTAATAAGCTCCCTTTCTAAATTTTACTGGAACAATGACAAGACGGAATTGATGCATTTGCATCAAACATTCCGAACAATCCAGTCACACATATACTTGTCGAGGCATTTTATATGAAAATTAAGAAAGGTCAAATAAAGTTCAAGTAGACAAAATAACAGTTATAGATAAAGAATGAAAATTAACACTATATGTGAAGAATAAGAAATTATCTCATTACCCTAGGTTATAAAATGACTTGAGGATTACGAGAGCGAATTCAAGGCTACGACGAATTATTTGTGTACATATAAGGAGTGTTTGAATTTACGAATATCCAAGGCTTCTACAAACCTAAGAATTCGTCGTTGACAAATTTTATACGTTTTAAGAGATGTACCGATGTCAATTTTATGTCCCATTTCAGTTATGTACTTTACTATCGATGAGCATGGTTTTCTACTCCCCATGTTTATCGGAGCATTTGACACTAAATGGTTTTAAAGCCATCTAAACGTATGTTCCATAACCCTGGATTGAATTGTTCGATTACTCCTCCCCATGTATTTGTGTCCACAAAAACATGTAAACTGGTAAATACGATGTTATGTAACGTAACCGTTCGTGGAATGTGTAGACCTATGAGAATCATGAGTTTAGTACTTTCAACCACAACTAGTATAGCAGTATATGTTTTCTCGTTGGCTGCTTTTAGTTTATCTTAAAATCATGCTGTTTGATTCATGACTAAATGGTAGAGATATAAACACTTTTCTTCGCAGCAGAATGTTATAACTTGTGGCCCTGTGCCTGATTAAGTTATAACGTAATAATACCACCAATTAAAGAACAGTGATTCATCAATCGAACTAATGGTGCGTAAACTCGTACGACCAGTCTAGATTCCTTATCGGTTCTTCTTCCTGCCTAGCTCTGCCTGTTGAGTGCAGAACACTAATCTAAGCCTCTGCAATATGAATCATGTATTTCCGATATACTGGGTTTATATACAAACCAAACAGACCACATCGTACCATAAAATAGGAAACAGCATTTGTACAAGATCTAACCAAAAGTGACTGTTAATGTGGGAGACTGTAATTGATAGACAGGGAATAACTCAAGAATGGTAAATCGTGTAATAATAATCTATAGGTCAAAATAAAGCTTATGATTAAATGAATATCAATATACATAGTTTAGTTACTTAACAATTATTCAATAGAAATATATGTATAGTATTAGTCCATAAATCGATCCTAACATTTAACATTAATTATTCTGATCGGGATATAACACAGAATTAAAGAGGAGTTTCAGTGTTGACTAATTTTTTGCACTTATTCATAAACTTTGATGGATAATTGTTTGATATCAAGTGTATCAGTCAAGAGTTTCACATCTTCAAATCTATCTGTAGTACATTTGAAGAAACATTTTATTAAGCCTATCTTGTATTGAAATGAATAAGAAACTGTAGAAATTCAAATATTACTCAGTCAGTGTTGGTTTTCCTAATACTAACTTGTATGAATTGAAAGTTATATTTTGTCAGCTTTCATCAGTCATCAATCAAAATTTCTTGAGTTTCGACTTGCTTACTTACTTTCTTATTTACACCTGTTACCCCAAATGGAGCATAGGTCGCCGATCAGAGTTCTCCAACTCACTCTATCCTGGGCATTCCTTTCTAGATCTATCCACTTGTTGTTCATTCTTCTCATGTCTGTCTCCATTTTTCGGCATAATGTGTTCCTTGGTTTTCCTTTTCTCTCTTCATTGGGAGGTCCTTGGGTGCTACTTCGATTTTGGGTGAGTTCAATGGGATTGGTCAATTCAAGAGTTCCTTAAAGTGCTCTACCCATCTGTTTCACTGTTCTTCAATGTTGTTGATTACGTTGCCTTTCAATTTGCTTAAGACATGGTTATTTCTGAGATTGCGATAAAAATTATTTTATAGTCATATGTTGTATAAACAGACCTCGGTGAACATATTTCCTTCCATTTCCTCATACAACTGTCAGCTGTTATTATAATCATTACCATTATTATCATTAATATTATGATTACTTCACTAGTGTTTTTCTTTAGTAATTAACATCACTTTCATCATTTCTGTCTACCGTAATCATAATAATTTGCACATGTTTCTTTTGTCCGATCACATCATGATCTCTCTTCCATTTAATCCGTTCTACCCATTGAACCTGCATGAATATGAGAAGTATTTACAGTTATTTCTCTTCACTAGTGAACAAGAAAGTTATTGTATATAGCCCATTATAGTCCTCTTTTATGCCTTCATATGAAAGATAAATTGCCTAACTTAGCTAATTTAATGTATACATATCAGTTCACTTACTTCTGTGGGGTTAGATATGTAGACCGTTCGTTATGTCTACTTCGACAACATTTATCACCATTACTTATCATTGGGCAGCACAGATCAATTACGCTTTCTGTTCTGCCCTATGTAAAACCGTGATCACGGACTTACGAATTTGAACCTACCTTACGTAATTTTCTCGCCTAATTAATATCCCATTCCTCGATATTCCATAATCAATCACATGATATAGCATTGTCATTTATAGCATGTCAATGATAGTACCTGTTTGATGATTGTCAGCTATGGTTAAATCCCATCCACAAGTCTACATACTACTCACTATTTGGACTTGGGGAAGTTCTTTTTCTAGTTTTATTATAAAGATTGTTCAATTTAAAGCGTGATTCTCACTATAAAGGTCATCGAAATTTTAAAGTGTTTATTTATCAGATAGATAAGAATTTTTGTTACTGTCTTGTAAAGTTATGAAATTCAAACAAATCCTTTATGTATGCATCAATAGAATACCTTTGTTCCTTTGTGTATTTTTTCTTCACACAGCTACTCCATTAACTCCAACCAGACTTTCATCAAAAAATCTTGGTGACGATCCAGAGAAAAGAAAACAACAACAAAAGCTATACGACGACGAATTCAAAAATGGAAATAGAGAACCAATGCCATTGGATCCCAGGAAACCAATTACACAGTTTAATTATGGCATACTTCAACATCCAGATGAATATAATTATTTAGCTGAAGCAGAAAAACAAAAACCAACTATAGATTTTGCATCAGAATTATCTTATGATAGCAGTCTTTATGGTAAAATTAGCCAAGGTTCCGCTCGAAAACAACCACCAATTAAGCATTATGATAAGTATAAGGATAAAAGTAAGCTGATAATTTTTTGCTTACATACGTATTACAATTATTATTACTATTATATTACTTATTCTGCGTTAGGTGATTGGAGTGAATGGATGAGTAGCCTTGAAACATAGTACTGTGAGAGTTGATGCATGACAATCAAAATAATCTGTATTAACAAAGGAAACGATGAACTCCATGTTGTACGAAATGTTACTAACCTGTTTTGTTATATGGCTAAGATATTCACACCTTAAATGACATCATATTGGAAATAAACGTTTAGGTTACTATTCTATCAAATGCTGTAGATTATAATCTATCTATCTATCTAGCTCAGATAATATAACTTAGTTACTTCATGGTTTGTTATCACAGTTTATCTGCCGTAGCCCTTGTTTCAACTTATTTCCATGTTAGCCAACACACTTTGGCCAGGCTTGTCCTACATGAAACTTGTTAAAACCACAGCCAATTTACCGTATCCATAGGGTATGCTAAAGATTATTTGAATTGTACTTATTCGAGGATTTTCTCATACATCTATTAAGTTGGGAAATATTACAAGGGATATTGGTAATTAAGATGTGACTGGAAAATCCTATACCACTAGAAATAATACAGGGATAGTTGAAGTTACCAGTAGTTTTATAATTATAGATACATCTTACTAATTAGTCTTAAATAGGTCAAAACTGATATTTCGTGTTTATTCTTAAGCTTCAATCAAAGTTCAAGTAGTGGTGCGGATCCCGTAAGTACCCCCCCCCTGCCATTTTGGATGATTTATTGACCAATTTATACTACTAACTGTAAACACTTATTCATTGACTTCTGATATAGCAGTAACTGTATGTTATCAAATCATCAATTTCTGATCAATTCTATTAGAACAATCAAATGGTATACTGATTAAAATGATTCTGTAAAAATTTAAAGGATTATATATTTTAAAGTCAGGTTTTCCAAGGTGGTCTAGCTTCAATTGACTCATGATCTAAACCATTGAAATGGCCGTAATATCCACAAAAAACCCTTCTGATATGAATCAACATATGCTCACTAGTGACTGGCTTCAAGAGGTATTTCCTGGAGTTCTAATGAGAAGTTGTGATCAATGGAGTTCAACCGGGTCCGTTGTGAGATAGTAACTCACGGATAACAATGGTGGACGTGTGGCTTGATTTCGTGGATTAGTTGAAGTTAGACATTAACACCGTTGGATGCCGGCTGGCTCAGTAGTCTAGTGGTTAAACACTCGCGCGCGAGACTGATATTAATTTCAGTTGGGGATCGGTCCAATGTTTTGGTAAATCAATTGTTTTCTATTTTGTATGACTTCAGTAAACTGAGTTTCGTACAAAATAATTATTGATTAATCTCAATTGTAGATTGTTCTCAGTGAAATTTTTACTTAGAATCTAACTAGTAATCAAGGTAGATATTAACAAGCAGAAAAAAGTAACTGTAGATTAATCTCATTTGAGAACAGTTAAAAACCAAGGAGTCTACGTCACTATACATAAAGGTTCGGAGGTCGTCGGCACGTACTGTTCAAGAGTCCTATACTAGAATGAAACGGCTGTCCTGTGTTTTCTGGTTTTCAATGATCCAACTGATGTTCTTGACAAAATACCTTATCTAAGAATCAAACTCAATTTATTGAGGAATTTAGATCTCGGTTTGTTTTTGACGTCTAGTAAAAACTGACATCAGTTTTCTTCTTGAATAATTTCCATTGAGTTGTATATTTCTGTGTGCAATTTTCTAATAGAGAAGATTCTATTATTGCTAGTTAGAGGAAACTCAATTGTGTATAAGTTGTTCAAACAGCTGATCTTCCTATTTATAATCCATTTATTAATTAATATCAGAAAGGGTTTTGTGAATATTATAGTAATTTTTAATGGTTGAGATCATGAGTCAATTGAAGCTAGACCACCATGGAAAACTTGGAAGCACTGTTTGACGGTCGTTTCGTCCTTTTGTGGGACTCCTCAGCAGTGCGCATCCACGATCCCATCTCACGAGATTCGAATCCAGGATCTATCAGTCTCATGCGCGAGCGATTAACAATTAACAATTATCAGTTTAGGAAATACATTTTTATGACACATTTTATAATCAAATCATTTTCTGTTACAGTAAAAATAAGTTGTTGCTTTCTTATCATTATATCTGATACCTGACAATGTACTAACTTGAACATTAATTCAAAGGTACTTGAACTCTAATACAAAATACACAATCACTTAGATCACATATTTCAAGGTTATTATTGATCAATAAACTCTCAAAGTTCAATGTAGGCAAGTATAACACTATAGTCATTTTAAAGTTTGACCATGTTGGAGTAGATTATATTCATCAAATGAAATTATCTGGTAAGGGTAATTATCGTAATAACCTGTGCACACTAATGACTCGGATGGAGATAAAACTTACTGAAATGTCTATCAGAAAATGTGATTTGAAGAGTTAATCAAGTTGATTGTATGATGGTTGATCATCATTGACACTAGACGTAAATTGCATTGTATCACAAACTGACTGTTCAGTTCTTCTATTTTCAATAATTCTCAATCGATAACTATTATCATTGAAATACAGATAGGATGTTAAACAAATGATTCATTCAACTGTATTCAATCATCCCATTAATAAAGTGATAACTTCTCAGACTTTGAAGTTGTGTGGCAGATTCTCATCTCGCAGAAAGCTTGATTTATCTCAAAACTAAAGGTACGCCTTGCTGACTGATACCATAGTTTCCTCCGCTCAAAATCAAAATATTTTTCATTATCAAGATGATAGACTGAAAATCAATTTCACTTACTCTTCTAAAGTAACTTGAGTAAAACATTTAGGGACGATTTAGTCCTGAGGCCATTCAACTTTCAACCATTTGGTTACAAGTTCTAACCATAATTCACCTATTTTAACTTAGACAATCGCAATTAGAATCACTACCCCACAGATATATATACACGTAGAGCGCTTAATTAATAAGTTGTGCTGATAGATTCCTTTGAAATTAGAATATGATTAGAAAATGGGTTTCGATAAGTCTATTTCGTAGGTTGTTTGCCAATTATTGGTCGAATCCTGATGAGAGACAAACATTTAACTGTTGAACTTTGATAACTAGTCCTACCATTAGTATTTGTAAATTTAAGCCTGTAGACACAATGTTCATCCACAAATGGATTTATATTAAACATATGGCTAGATCTAAGCACACACACATACATATACACAAAAGTTGACATTTTCATCATGGATAATTTTTAACCAACGTAATGTTAGGCTAATCCATTTTATCAAATGAATTCTGTTGAATTAATAATCAGTGGTCTAATGGTTAAGTGCTCGCGCGCCAAGCCAATAGGTCCTGGGTTCGAGCCTCGCGTGGTGCGGGATCGTGGATGCGCACTGCTGAAGAGTCCCATACTAGGACGAAACGGCCGTCCAGTGCTTCCAGGTTTTCAATGGTGGTCTAGCTTCAACTGACTCATGATTTCAATCTGTGAGAATTAATAAATGTTTGTCCTCGGGTGAAAAGAAACACCCTATGGAAAAACTAGTTAGTTTATGTTATTTGAATGAATTATGCTTTGAGGAATATAATCGGACTGAACTAATTCACATATTATAATTTCAAACAAATTGTCACCTTAATCATATATTGAGTAATTTGTTATAACTTGTCAGTTGAATGCTGCTTGTTTTGGGGTTAATAAATCTTCACTTATACCAGTCTTTGTGTACTTACTTTCGCGTCGTGGGAATTGCAGAAGTCTTTCGTTTCGAGTATAAGTGATAAGCGTTTCCGATGTAACAAGCAACATTCAACTGACAAGTTATAACAATTGGCGACGGGGTGAAAAATAATTTTAAACCCTCAATCTTCAAATTAACGAATCCAGGTCAACCTGTAATTGAACAAAATTCAGTGTAATTATTTCGAACAATCAGCATACAAGGTTCTCACCGGTGTCCTTGAACGACATTGATTGTTAATTAATCATACAGTATTTTTCATTACCGTGCTGATTCAGAAAATGGCTATCTTTTCCGATCAATTACAGTTGCTATTTGAAAGACAACAGCAGCCTTTCAAAAAGAGCCAGTTGAATGTTTTAGACGTTTTACGCACATGGCTGCTAAATCATCCATGTTTTGGAGATGTGACAGAAGTTGATAAATTAATTTCTAATTTGCATACAGAGCTGGAAAATGACTGCAGCACTTATGAACACGTCGATGAAAGCCTCCGTGAATCCTTGATAAGCGGTAATATAAACGAAGTAGTAGCAGTTCTTCATGATCAGCCCAGTGGTTCAGAAATGTCCATTTCAGAGACATGTCCTATCGTGGGTTCAAATCCCATCCCCGTCGCCAATTGTTATAACTTGTCAGTTGAATATTGCTTGTTTTGGTTGTCGCTGATTGTTACGTCGGAAACGGTTATCATTTACACTCGAAATGAAGAACTTCTGCAATTCCCACGACGCGATAGTAAGAACATAAAGACTGGTATAAGTGAAGATTAATTAACCTCAAAACACGATGATGACGACGACCTTAGTCGAAAAACACACTCATTTATATATTGCTGTACACACAAAGATTAATAATTAGGATGAAATCACATATATGAGAAATAGAGTTATAACAAATCATATGCTGAGCATAGTTCATGTCAATGGAATACAAGAATATCGCATATTATACGGTATAAAATATCATACGAGACAATAAAACAACTACTACATTGAGTAATCATTACATTGAATCAAAACGGAAGTAATGTTGAACAAAACTGATAATGAGTAAATCAATCGGATTTGGACTTTTCTTCTCGTCATAGCATAATTACTTATGAATAGTTGGTGATTACATTCTGTGGGAGTTTTTTCTCTTAGTAGAAAATGATAACTCGATTAGTCCGTTACATCGAGTGACTTTATTTCGGATGACATGGAGTGGATTAATCCACATACTGAGTATAGAAATTACTGACCATCACGTTTTAATTGAATAGGACTATTTTAATCCACTTGATGAAATGCCCTGGTACGGCCGAGAGTGGGGAGACTCCGCTCTCTCTCGAAATGCTCTCACATGGCGACGCGTATATAGCCTCTGCCAGGGAAGTTCTACTCACTGCCTTCTCTCAAACGGCGTGTTGTTTACGAAATTGAGAGGATGAAAAGCAAATGTCCGGCGCTTTAACCGGGTTAGTGGACATGGAGAGTCCATCTAGGGGAGTTGGAAAACCCTGATTCCAAACTAATGGTGCACATGGGCTCCAGTATCCTGAAGGAACAGAAATGGCGTATGAACCAATCGTTGGTCACAGGCTTCCATGGGACTGCATCTCCTTACGATGCTCCACTGCCTTGTGGATCAGACCTTTAGGTCGAAGGCTCTGGGTGTGGCCCCCTAAGAAAACTACCTGCTTCGGTTTGGGCACTCGGGCAGTATCACAGCCCTCACACAAATCTCATTTGATTTGTGTGGCGCATATGTATCTGGTGTCCCCGTTGTACCAATATCTATGTGTTAAAATAAATAAATAATTTGATGAAATGTACTAAAAAGCGGTTATGTCATAAGTAGCAACTGTTTCTCTTCTGACCTATTTGAACTTTGTACATTACTTATTCATATCAGAAGTGAAAGAATTTATCTCAGCGTCAATTCCTCCGTAAGCACGATTATAATATTATTATTAAATGAATTTTGTACAAGATTGAAGTCAATCTGTGACATATTCTACATTTAAAACAATTAGTCCTTTTGATAAATTTCAATAATGCAATGAGAAGACGAAGGTTAGCAGAATTATGTGATGATATATTTGTGAAGTACATTTCGAACAATTTGATCACACATCTATACTTGTTAAGACATTTTTATATGAAAACTAAAAGGTCAACTAGACAAATACATAAAGTACACAAAAACAATGTGATAATCACTCTGGGTAATAAATCAGTATTACCAGGGTAGGTTAAGGGTAAAAAAGATTGTTTTTGAATACATACAGAGGGTTTCAGTTTCCGTACTATACGTCCTTGAAGGCTTTCGTATAACACTACAAATGCCGACTTGATATCGACCTTATAACGAATCTTAACAAAATGTTTCGTAATGGAAGACGATGTCTGTTTATCCTATGAACTTATTTAACCATTGGGATTCATTTGTTTCTGCAGCCATTTGGGTATGTGTTCCACCATCCTTAATTGCTCCTCCCTATGTACATGTTCCGCACGTATATGTAAATTGATAGACACAATGGGATGTGCTGTTTGGGTTTTTGGTGAAACATAGACATTGTATTTTCAATAATGCCAATTTGGGCTGCATAAAATGTCCTGTTGATGACTAATTTCGATCTCCGTTTCAACTTGAGGCTATTTGGGTAGCCTCTAAATGATAACTGTTATGTCCTTTTGTCTATCTACCCACTCTTGGTGCTGAGGCTACTTATCTAATCCAGACTAAAACTTGGCGCGATAGGCTGACCGACCTAACCTTGAGGCTAGTACGCGTGAGTTCGAAGTGGGGTAGAGAGGAAACTATTCTACCACCTGATGGGCTGACAAGCACGCGAATGAGAAAACAAGACAACTGGAACTCTACTCGATCTATTCCCGATATCCTGATTTCAGTTCAGTTCGGGTTAATGTAAAAAGGTACATGAATAAATAAGTGAATAACCCGATCATAAAGTACAATAATTAGGAAAAATACAATTGTCCAATACTGGGAATTAGCGTAGAAAATAGGGTACAAAATATTATGTTTAAACTACAATAGCTTCGGAACAGAAAAGGGTATGGCAATGAATCATACATCGGACGAAAGCTTATGTTCTCTAGAATAGAATAGGGACAAAAATAAATGTTAGTGTTTTACAAGCTTTGAATAAAATGGGATAACGTCCCGAGAAATAGCTTTCGTAGTTTGTCAGGGCTTCTTGTTTTCCTATTCACACCAGTAACATAATGTAAACTCGCTTTTTGGGTGCCAGAAGTGTCATAGGTCTAGCCGTATTGTAACAATTCCAGCGGTTTATGAACTTCAATGAATAATAGTTAATCATTAACGTTTTAGTCAATAGCTTCGTCTCTACTTCAGTAGTATCGTTAGTACAAGTATGATTGATTCTATTGAATAAGCCTCTTATTAATCCACGTTTGTAATGAATTGGGTAGTCACTATGGAAGTAAAGATATTACCCCGTCCATGTCGGCTTTGAATGGAACCATTATCTCTCCTACTAATCAGTACGTCTAGAAAAGGAAGTTTGTTATTTTTCTATTTTCCACATGTAAGAGAAATATGCTTTTGACTTGTGTTAAGTTCTTTTAACAAGCGGTTCACATCTTCACGTTTATCCTCTATGATTATGATGTCATCAACGTAGCGTTTATACAGACACATCTATTGAATTGAGTCTCCAGCTAGATTTTCAACATATCTCATAAGCACATCAGCCAGAAACGGTCCTAAAGGGCTACCCATAGCTACGACATTGATTTTTCGAAAGTGCTCATCCTTAAAAGTGAATTTTACATTGTCAGTACATAATAATAATAAATCTTTAAGAGTTTTAACAGGAAATGGCAATGGAAGGTTATTCAATGAGATATTGTCACATAAAATATCAATAGTTTCCTAAAGAGGTATATTTGTAAATAAAGTGTTCACATTAAGGGAGAACATTGTCTTTGTTTTTATATTCATGTTCATTAAGTACTTAATCCAAATGAGTCAATCAAGGAATAATTACAAAATTGATTTCGAATAGGGTTTAACACCCTTATCAACCATTTTTCAAGGTTGTATGTAGGTGACCGACACAATGATAGAATTGAACGTAATGGGGTATTAGGCTTATGAATTTTTGGTAATCTATATAAATTAGGATACACTGAACCCATAGATTTTAATGAATTTAACTCATCCTTGTCAATAGCATTCATGTTTAACAATTTCATTAGATTCAAGTTTACTTTTTTAATAAGGCTACAGTTGTTTCTTGGGAGCTATGGTCATGTACTTAGGTCTCCACGATCACACTTCACTCAGCTTTCTTATCTTGCCCCTCAAGAAATATCCCTCCAAAGAATGGACCACCTCTCTCATACCTATAATAGTACTCCAGATTACCTTGCTTACAATTGTTATTGTATGAGGCTTCACTTCAGTTAACATCTATTATGGTGTTTGAAATCTCCTGGTTTAGTCTCAGTGATCTTGAGTGCTGTTAGAGGTCAAGACCACTGACACTAAACCAGGAGATTTCAAACACCATAACAGATGTTCACTGAAGTGAAGCCCCATACAATAACAATTGTAAGCAAGGTAATCTGGAGTACTATTATAAATATCAGAGAGGTAGTCCATTCTGTTCTACTTTACGGTTGCGAAACGTGGCCATTAAGAGCAGAAGATACTCGTAAGCTACCAATATTTAACTACAGGTGCCATAGAAATATTGCTCCCAACTGCTGGGATCACCAGGTAAGTAATAGTGAGGTTAGACGAAGGGTATTAAGAAATAATGGTAAATCAGTTGATGAGGTTGTGAATCTTCATCGACTGAGATGGTTGGGTCACGTGTTACGTATACCTGAACACCGATTACCACGACGAGCAATGCTGACCAGTGTTGGACATGGTTGGAAGAAAGTTATGGGTGGCCAAACCAAAATGTGGCATCAATGCTTACAGTCACTAACTTCTAGTCTGAGTCATGTTGGTAGATGCAGATTACTTGGTTAGGGTCCGCATGACTATCGTAACCAATGGTTGGAGACTGTGTGTGACATGGCTCAAAATCTATCACAATAGCGTCGATGTATACACTCTCTGTCATCCCTTAAACTCTGAGATTAAAATCGCTTCATATCTTACTTTCTACGAACGAATTCTTTCTTGCTGTACTATGTCCTTATATGCCATCTTCCTTTTATACATTGTCACCATTGTATTAACTACTTCTATGAATCCGGTGTTCATGTTGTTGTGCTAATGAGTGAGGTATGGCAACTTGGACCGATGTATATGTGTGTCTGGTCCTACATTGTAACTGACTGACTAACTAGTTTAGTCTCAGGTACGGTTATGGATGTATTTTGAAAAGAAGTCTCAAACAACAAGTTGTCTAACATTCACCAATTTTCAATGTGGCATCTTAACTGAGACGAATTTTTGTTGAAAGAAAATCTTGAATTAGAGCATTATCGAAGACTGTATTGAATAAATCGATATAACTTTGAATGGTTTCGATCAAGATTTGAAAAGTATATAACTGATATTCTGAACTATACAATTTCGAATAGCGTGTAGATGAATCCAAATAATGAATGTTAACAGGAATGAGTTCTAAGTGTTTAATTTTGTTTTTCAGTTCAGTTCATTCTTTCATATTAACTTGACAATTTACTGTTGTCTTTTACTATTTCAGTTTTGGGGTTTAATGTTAATTCATTTTATTTCAACATAATTGTTCAAATGACTTCAAATTACTACTTAATAATGATTTTGTTATTTTCATAGTAAAATTATAAAGTAGAAGAGAGAGTCAATCAGAATTGAGGGCATTACATTTAAGTATTTACGTACATTTTAAGGATAAGTGGCTTTTATATAAAGATTTTACATAATACAAGAATCAATTAGTTTCCTCTTTGTTTCTAGTAAACTATTAGTTTTTGATTAACATCATGAACCGATAGATGTTAGATCACCATTGAAAACCTGGAAGCAGTGGATGACCTCAATCAAAAACTCGATAATCTCCACAACCTTTATACTAATAATTACCACGTGCTCACTGATGAATAGCTTCGTGAGGGAATTCTCGGAGTTCTGGTGAGAAACCGTGACCAGTGGAGCTAATCCGTGTCGGGTAGAGACAGGTATCTATTTCAGTACAATGGAAGATGGTCACTCAATTTCGTGGATTGGTTGAGGTTAGACAATAACACCATTGGATGGTGGCTTAGTAGTCCAATAGGCTAGGCATTTGCGCACGAAACTGAGGCCCTGGGTTCGAATCCCGGGAGCGGATCGCAGATGCGCACTGCTGAGGAGTTCCACAGTAGGCCGAAACGGCCGTCCAGTGTCCCCAAGTTCTCAATGGTGGTCTAACATTAATCGGTTCATGATCTTAATAAAAAATCTAGTATGAATAGACCTACACTTAGAATAATAATGTTATCTCATGAAATTTCTGGAATATTAAGACCGGAAAACTGGTAATAAACTTTGAAAAGCCAATAAATTTTTTTAAAAACAAACAAACTAATTTGTTTCGAAATACTCTTGGTTTATATGAACTTATAGCTCAATGACTAAAAAGTCCTTTCAAAATCAAGGAGCCAATTTAGAAATCGCCCAATCTCCTCCTTATACTATACTTTTATCTCACTAACCAATAAGTATATAATTACTATTTTACCATGGTGTTTTGTTTGGAAGAGTTCGTACTACTTGAAAACAGTTCTCTCATTCTACTCACTGAGAGACTAGAACATTTTAAATTCAATCTTGTAAGTGAATGTGAACGATAGAGAAGTTGAAAACTAGGATGATGAAATAGTTTTTCAGTGTTCCTTGCTTTTTCATTTTATCTTACATCAGTATCAGTTTATGGTAAGCAAAATATTGCCATAGTTCTTAACTTTGAGTAATAATCCAAGCTCATATTGAGTTGAGAGTTATGGATTAGGCAGGACTTATCTTTATTTGTATATTTCAAACGCAGAACCTGATAAACCACATCGTCATCCACCGCCACCTCAACCTACTGATCATGACCAAACAAAACGTTTAGACGATAAACCAAGCCCAAAACCAGGCAGAAGATCAGGCCATGGAATGGTTTCAGGTTAGTAATTTTTTAATACCTTGATGTTCTTTCAAACTAAATTATTGTTTGTTTGTCTTTTGGAAAAAAGCTACGAGGTTTCAGTTATATATTACTGATGGGTACTCGTAATTATATCTGAAACAGCAAGGGGAAAAACTTTAGATGAGGCTGGGTTCGGGGTTATTGCTGGTGATTTTCTCGGTTTTACAATCCCCTTATGATCACTTTGATAATCACAAGGAAATTTCTGTCACCATTTGTGCATCATATGAGGATAGGAAGATACTTTGTTGCAAATAAGATTGAATGACCGATTGATCTTCTCTGAATCTGGATTACAAATAAGATTAAGTGGGTAATCAAACATTTTCAAATTCTGCGATCCGGTCAAGACCCAATAAATTAGAGGATACATTAGTAACATAGCATTTAGATTTAACTGTTGAATCACTAAATTTAACAATACATTTGATAATCCCAGAAATTTTTATTGGGATGCTCGGTGCACTTTTTACACAATCATTTGTAGAATGAATGCTTAACCAACTAAGTTCGTGCCAAGTTTTACGACAAAGCAAAAAGACATCAGATGTAGTGTCCAACTGCAAAGTCATGATACCATTCATTAACACTAATGGATAAGTACTTACGTGAGCATCAGGGCTTAACATAACTGATTCTTTTTGGCATCCGATAATGAGATGAGGGTTTGTTGCGTTTGAAAAATCCCTTCTTATGACCCGTTACTCTACATTTTGCTCATTTATATTTCTTGAATGGGCGCAAACGGGAGAAATGCCATGTGCCACAGTTCCAATAAGTAGTGGAAGACCTGATTAGCTCTCTATAGCACATACACGTGTGTGTGTTAAGAATCGTAGACTTGATGGTTTTTCTTCAGTAGACTTGTTATCCTCCTCAACAGTGCTCATCTACGATCCCGTACGTAGGTTTCGAACCTATGACTTCGGTCTCACGCGTGAATGCTTAAGCTTTAGACCACTGAGCCGGAACCTAACGGTTTCATTGAAATTTTGTTGGAATAAGACAGATCCGATTTTTGTACACTGTTATGGTTTTAGACATAACTAGCACTGTCATACAGTCTATAGTATGTTTTGTGAACAATCCTTATTTGAATATTTCACGAGACATATTTCCCTTGATTTTGTATGCTTCAAGAATTAAAGTCTACAATATCTTGCATATATTTTTGTAATAATCACACTATATTCTAAACAAAAATCAATGTTTTTGTTTACACGTAACTCAGTTGTTTTGTCAAAGATTCGATAGAATTAACCTCTTCAGTAAACTGTTTACTTGATTATGCGGTTAGATTTGCTGAATTCAATGAATATCAAAGACCACTGAATATCTGTTTAATTCTAATTTGAGACCTTTCTGTATAGCTCTGTTTAAAGTAATCAAGGTTTCTAGTTGTATGAAAGCGGTATTGTTATTAAAACAGGTAATGGGCTTCATAATCTATCATATAAACTGAAGGGCATAATGAGCATTTAGTTAATTGATGAAAGATCATATATATCGATTATTTATTTATTTATTTGAACACATAAATATTGGTACAAGAGGGCACCAAATATATATGCGCCACACCATATTTGTGTGTGTGGACTTTGATACTGCCCGGGTTCCCAGACCGAAGCAAGTGGTTTTCTTAGGGAGCCACACCCCGAGCATTTGACCTAAAGGTCTGATCCACAAGGCAGTGGAGCATCGTGAGGAGATGCAGTTCCATGGTAGCCGGTGACCAACGATTGGTTCATACGCCATGTGTTCCTTAAGGATACTGGAGTCCATTTGCACCATTGGTTTGGAATCCGGTCAGACCGCCGGACATTCGCTTTTCGTCCTCTCATTTTCATAAACAACACCCCCGCCACGAGAATGCAGTGAGTAGGACTTCCCTGGCAGGGGCTGTATACGTGTGGCAATGTGAGAGCATTTCGAGAGGGAGGGCGGGCTCACCCAACTCTCGGTCATAACAGGGCATTTGGGGGCATATACCGGGGCATATATGCCGATAATCATAATTATGAGATACATGAAATGATTAAATCTAAGAACTCTAAAAGCAAATGAAATTTCTTAGATCTTAGAAATAATTTTCTGATTTGATATTTTTTTTAGTTGATGAAAATTATTATGTAAATGTACCTGGTTCAGGTCCACCAGTTATTCGTCCACCATACAATGGACACAAGAGATCACTGCAAGATTTAAGTGAACGTTCCGGCCCTCATAGTGCTTATGATCCTAGATTGGGCGATACAGTTATTCAACCAAGTAAACCTAGAACCAGTGATAGAATATCGGATCAAATGCCTGATTATTATGATCAATATACATCGGATGAAAGTGATTATGATGATTCAGGAGAATCAGATGAAGAACTTAGACCGCCAGCATTACGTACAATAACTCAGACAAGGAGACGATCTGAACCAGAACCTTCGAGTATGTAAATTTCTAGTTACACAATTACTTTTATGGAATATTTTTGGTTATTTATGGAACTCAATAGAGTCAAATTTTATAAATTATTCTGTAACTATTTGAAAAAAATAACAGTCAGTCATCCTGTTACGTATTTGATTTGGTTCAATCTGTTTAACTATACTAACACAAGGAGTTGATTTTGAGATGAGTAAGAAAGGAGTTGAAATATTCTTAGAACCGATGACGTTGAGATTAACTAACCATAAAAAGTATGGTGTGAAAAGACAGAGTAGGATATTATGCATGAAAGAATACTGGGGCTCAAGATCTATAAGGAGATAAAAAGTGAATATATTTACGCGACTGTTACTGATTTTAAGCCATGTCGTCCAATGTTCTCAACCACTGTTTGCATTCTTCTCGAGGATCTTCAACCGATAATCTGGTTTTACCTATACGGCTCAAACTAACAGCTAATGAATTCTCGATTATCTTATTATTATTGTTAGCTTTATTCGCTGTTAGATTTTTGGTACAATACAAAATTCTCAGCACAAAGTATTTCAACAAGTTTCCGTTTCTTACTTCTTCGTCGATCCTGATGACAAATATTGAGTGGTCGCTGGCTAGAAGTTTTAGCAGTTCAGGAATCGACATCTGATGAAAGGAACAGGTAGCCCAGATGTTCATGCATTAATAATACTCATTAAAAATATCATAAAGGTGTACTAAGAATTTAAAATACGCTATTTTTTTCGCATAGTTAGACCGTTACGATAAATTACATTAACATCAGACTGGATAACAGACTGACTACATAATTCAGTTTGCCATTCCTAGTCATTTCTCAATCTTTCGACTACCATAACGGGTTGGGCAATCGAATGGTTGTGGAATATGAAAGTAACTGATTGACTCGAGACACATTTTAATAATTAGAAGAGTGTTTCTTAAAATTTTAGATTTTGTGTGTTTGGTAGTAAATTTAGACAGTTTGGTGGATTATCGACTTCATGAGTTGCGATATCTTAAAGGTAAATTTAGTTAACTATAGAAAAGTCCTTGCTACAGCTTACAACTACACTCTTTACTTATCAGTATCGTCTAAAAGTTGGTTACCTAGTCAGTTTATTTACCAAATTTATCTGAATACTGCTCCGACTAAGTTATACATAATGTTGTCTACCAAACGAATGTTATGTAAAGTTTAATGTAAGCCTCTGTATCTGATTGTGAATGATTTGTTATTAGGTTAGATGGTCAATATAAATGCTTTCTTCACAAAACATGAGTATTAAAACAGAAATGTCCTGACATTTTGACCTTTCTCTAAATTGAAACGTATTATATAAATGATGGATAGTGGCTAGCAGTGGAGTCCTGCTTATGCAATGAGGTGAAGTTTAAATTCATTTGGTGCCGCTCTACTTGTAGCTAAGTGGATAACGCGATGGCGTTTGGAGCGAACAGTGCTGGGTTCGAGTCCCAGAGTGAACGTCAGCTCTGAGATTCAAGTACACCCAGCTGACGAGTCCCAAATAGGACGAAACGCGTGTCAAACTGGACTCCACTGCTAGCCGCTATCCGTTTTTGCTCAAAAACCTTGCGACTTAAGGCTATATCGAGGCAATCCTCACAGGGATGCACATATGTCAACATGAGACTGCTCGATTGCAGTCCTAAATAATAATGAGAAGATACAAGTAAAACAACACCAAGTGAATCTATTATATGAGATGCTAATATTAACTAAATTTATCAGGTACTTAATTATTATTGAGTTGTTTATTGATTATTTATTTACAAATGCCCAATGAAGACAATTATCCACCTGTACAATTAAGAAAACAGTCAAAAGGACAAAAAACTGGACAGTCAATCACATCAATTCGTGATAGCCTTATTAGTCCTGAAGGTATGTCAATTCCTTCCACTCCGGGTTATGAAAATATTTATGGTATTTATTATAATGATAAAACAGGTAAATACATGAAAGGACTAGATCGTGATCATTCAAATGGAATGTCACAAGAACGTATATCACGACCACGTTCTAAACATACAACTGCAACAAGTCGAAGTTCTGGTTATTACGGTGTTAATGGTAAGTAATTATGGAATCAAATTAATGGGCTGATCAAATTTTTAATTAAAAGAAGAATTTTCACTATCTGAACTAAAATATTAAAAGTACATAGATAGTGTTGGGAGTTCATGAATGTCATTCGACAAAGTCTAGAAATCCAGGCTGAAAATGTTCCATCCAATCATCATTGAACAGAAGCTACGCAGAAACATAGGGGAAGATTATTTGTCAAGTTTGGATTGTATAATTATTTATATTGTTACTATATTCAGCATGCTCTCAGAAGTCTCTAGGAAAGAAAGGTCATCTGAAAACCCATAAACACACCCGACTGTTCGTCCGTAAATTAATCTTGGAGTAAAACTTTTGCTCATATTTATCACCTTTTCTCTGTTGATCAAGTTAAGTGTAGTAATAGTTTATGACTATAGGAGGTGGCTGAGAGGTCAATAACAAGCTTTCAATTGGAAGATTTATCAAAGAGTGTATGTGTGTGTGTGAATATAAACACATTCATTCATACACATGACTTGTAGCTATAATCGTTATTTGTGATAGTCATGTGTACTGAGGCATGTTAAGTTTAATTCGAACCAACAACCAGTTGGTTGAAAGCTAAGCTCTTTTGCGTTTGAACAACTTCCAAGAAAGTAATTGGATGTTAGACCAGCGTTTGGTTCTATTTTTGGAGGTGGTTGCTATTCTACATTTGATACATGTGGACTAATGAACCATTTCACTTTGCCAAATATTTCATCTTCTTTGAAATCTGGACCCAATGAATTAGGGAATAGTCCAAGGTAAAAAAAAAAATGGAATTCATTTAGTATACTACTTTTATTATCCATTAACATAATGTGTAGCCTAACAATAGAATGTTGTCTAGTTGAAACTCAACTTTAAATCTGTTTATTCGGCTGACGTTTTATTTGTAATAATTTTTGTGTAAATCATTATATACATGCTACTTGGCTGATCATTTTAGTGGTGAATGATACAAGTAAGTTGCGTTTAATAATTTAACGATCATCATAACATCAGTACATTGTTTTGCAAAGATTGTAAACCTTTCATAGTCTAAATCACGAACCGATCTTAAATAGACTACTATTGGAAATCAGAAAGAACCGAATGACTATTTCACCCTAGTATGTTGTGACTCATCAGAGGTGTGCATCCATAACTAGTTTGAAGTTGCCACTGCTGGAGTTTCATTGAGACTGTGACCACTGGAGTTAAACCATATCAAGTGTGAAACAATTATCCTCATCAACTAATGGATGAGGATTGAGCATTATCATGAATCAATTGAAGTCAGACACACAAACTGTTGGATTATGAGTCAGTGTTCTATAAGTTAATTGTTCACATGTGAGATCGATTATCCTGGGTTCGATTACTCATGGTAGGATTGTGAATGTGCATTACTGATGAGCTTTATGCTAGGATGAAACATCTGTTCAGTAGTTCCAGGTTTCTATAATGATCTAAGTGAGATCAGTTCGTGATTAAAGAGCTACGAATATATCATCATACTATTTAAAAAAATTGTTCATCATTTATTCATTTTGTTGATGAGTCTTTTCCCTATTAGTAATAAACTTATATTGTAATATTTGATGTAATTTCGGTTTCATCTAACATATTCATACATAGATATCTTAAAGGAGAAAAAGAAATTAGATATAATTCGCAGCCAAGCTTTGTGTTTGAACTTACGCTGAGTTATGTGTTCCAACTGTTTAGTGATTTTTTAGTGTTATCAGTCCTTAGAAATCAGTTAAATAAATAATTGGCGAAACTATAATTTAAAGACGAACGAATCAGATTTAAGATAACAGGTCTCGGATTTCGGCGCGAAATTCTTTCATCCAACTGGCTAAATAGAGTTTTGGAACTACAGCTGATGTCACTTTATGAGGATAACCCGAAATCTAATTTCTAACCTTAACTATCAACTGTAAATCATAATTCTAATTCCCCACACTGTTTTGTAACCCTCATTTAGTCCTAGTTAGTAGGTGAACACTCTCAAGGTCAGTTTAGCGTCACTCAAAGGTCGTCCATAAATTATAGTCTCAGCAAATAATTTATAATTCAGAACATTTGTTGAAATTAATCACTGACTGATTTATACGACACTTCAGCAGTACGCATCCATGAAACCACCAAGTATTCAACCTATTATCTTCAGGTCTCGCAGTGAACTTTCAACTTCAAACCATATTAAATACATAATATTGTGGAACTATTATACATTCCCAATGATAATATTATATTCTTTCGTACCTGATATGATCAAAATCTTCTAGTCATATCCATTTCTTCCCGTACTATGTCTTTATATGCAATCTTTCTTTTATATATTACCACCATTGAATTAACTACTTCTATGAATCCGGTGTTCATGTTGTTTTGCTAATTAAGGTATGGTAACTTGGACCGATGCACATATGTGTCTGGTTCTACGTTGTAACTGACTGACTGACTTCTAATCACTTCTCTTAATGTTTATCACTAGTAAACATGAAGTGAATTGTTACTGAAAGAGTGATTTAAGAGTTTGGTAAACCTTGTAATTTTTATCTTTTCCGTTAACTAACTTCAAGTAGATTCGAATGGAAAATTAAAGGTTTTGAGTTTACTAGATACTATGTGACTTATTTTTTCCTTCAAAAAAGAATCATCTCACTCTAACTTTACTTCTGTCATCATTGATCAATCGATTTCTGTATGGAAACTTATAGCAGGTTTGCCTATTTGAAATTCATTTCTAATATAACCTGTATAACTAGAGCATAGATACAACTAACATACATTGTCATCACCAGTTTGTATGAACAAAATTAACATACATCAGATGTTTCTGTTAACAACCAAATCAAATAATTGTTGCCATTATTTGTCATGAATAATTAAGTTTAGTTAACTGAATTTATGACTTATTTTCATTTAAACACATAAACATTGGTACAAGGAGGCACCAAACAGATATGCACCACATAAATCATTTGATTTATGTGAGGGCTGGGATACTTTCTGTGTGCTCAAACGGAAGTAGTTGGTTTTCTTAGGGGGCCACATTCGGAGTCTTCGACTTAATCCACGAGGCAGTAGAGCAATGTCTGAAGATACAGTCCCATGGTGGCCAGTGACCAACGATTGGTTCATACTCCATTTGTTCCTTCAGGATACTGGAGCCCATATACACCATTGATTTAGAATCAGGGTTTTCCAACTCCCCTAGGTGGATCCTCCATATCGACCAAGGCGGTAAAAGCGCTGGACATTCACTTTTCGTCCTCTCAATTTCGTAAACAACACCCCCGCCACGAGAAAACAGTGAGTAGAACTTCCCTGCCAGTGGTTGTATGCACGTGGCCATGTGAGAGCATTTGGAGAGAGAGCTGATTCTCCCCACTCTCTTTCGTACCAAGGCATTTGGGGGCATTTAACTGAATAGAGTGAACTACAGCGAAGGAAATATTGAAGTCACCACATTCAGGATCTTCGATGTCAATATTGATTAGTAATCAACTAATTTTTAATGACATTGATTAGAATTAAAGATCCACACGAGAAGCAGTAGTAATCATAAAACTTCATATTATTTCCCACTGATGAGTATGAAAAACCAGACCCAGGGATTTACATCTTTTAGATACAATTGTTCAGTAAATAACACTGTATAGTTAGTTACAAAGTGACCTAATCATACAGCTACCTCTTGAAGACCAAATTTTGTCATATACTAACTAAACATTGAGAAGCTTACATAAAGTACTGATTTATTATTTAGGATAAAGTTTTAGTCGAAAGGAAGAATTTTTTCGAAAATTAAGTATTCTTCTTGAATATTCTGTCAAGATAGTTGATTATTCATAGACAACTTAAGATCTGGTAGAAAATTGTCCATAGTTGTAAGTTGATACAATTCATACCATGTAGCAAGACGATCAGAGGAGACAATAATATCAGATGCATCTGTAAGAGTCTGTACTTTCCAGTTCTTGACGTTTGTTGATCCGTATCATCATGGATGATAGAAACTTACAAACACATACGAATAAAATTGATACCTGTTTCACCAACCGTTGACTTTCTCTACTCATTAGCTTAGTGAATAACGTGTTAAAACTTGAAATGAAAACAACTGGATTAAAGTCCTAATCTGAACACCAACACTGGGATGCAACTACACTAGATGCCAAGTTTCGAACAGGACGAAGAAAGAATTCTGGATTCCACTGCTATTCACTATCCATCTTTAATAAAAGTAGTGATTGTAGTATAAGGCCAAATGTAGGAAGGGTATTTCAAAAGGGGCGAATGGAAATAAAGAACAAGCAGTAAGGAATTGTTGTGATTCGCTGTGTCCAATAATGATACTGGCGTGCAATTTTCCTATATACCTATATGCCTTAGAAAATTAAGCCACTGGCGATGTATATTTTCTTCCCTGTGTTTAGCATTTGACTGATTTCTGATAGACCCGGTGTATAACCTTTTCCTCTTAAATAATAGGTCTGGCTTCTCAGAGTCAGCTGAATATGTTGGAATACAGGCGCATCATAAATGACATTAAACTCAAGATTTTAAAAAAAGATCACTGATGTATCCAAGTCCAATATTGTAATTGTCATAGATTACAAATATCTTACGATTTACAACTTGATATTCTACAACTACCGACATAGTTCAAACTGATAATCAATAATTCCAAGAACTGATACCATATATTGGTTTCCCAACCATTAACTTTGTTTCAACTTAATCCTAAGTCAGTCAGTCTTATGCCTTGGGTTAGATATGGTAAATGCTTCCCCTATGTAAGGCAACTGATGCTTACATTATCATACCTCTCTCAAGCTATACACTTCACCCTAGCATTGTTCACCTGTTTTGAATATCTACCAACTTTATATGTCTTTCTGTTTTAGGGGCCATGTTTATATGTACTATACTTGTATAAGTTAGCTAAAAATTATCAGAACATTGAACAACTTCATTAGTTGGTAGTATATAAGTAAATCGAATAAACACTTTTTATAATCGTATATGTTTTTTCTAAGGTTCAAAACACAGTTTAATAATCAGTACAAAACGTCGAACACTAAGTGGTTTAACTGGTACCCACCCATCAAAACATCGTTCCAGTTCAATGAATACTTTGTGGTTCGGTGATCATCCTGTACCGTCGGAACATACAATCTCGCCAGCTACACCAGTTAGATTATCAAATATACAAATACAAGCTCAAGCAGAACTTGAACGTCGACACAGATCATCTTCACATGGACATAGTTTAGATAGAAAATCTATATATAGCACAGGAATGACAGAAAGTCATTTGTCCAAAGGTTTAAGTGATTATCATCAAGGTTATGAAGGAATTGGTTATGCATATGATAATCGAGGAAGATTAATACATGGTGGTGCATGTTTACCTGAACGTTCAGCTAGTCGTAAACGTCGATTATTAGATGGTCATGAAAGTTTATCAAGAGTATGGATACCACAAAGTGGTGAACACTATCCAATTAAACAAATATCTGATAAGACACCTAGTTCGCTAATGAGTAAGTTCTTATTTCCGGTATATATATATATATATATATATATATATATATATATATATATATATATTCATAACATGCTTAACATAGAAATTAGCTTAAGGTTAGTGTCGATTAACATTCGATACTTACTACTTGGTAAAACAGTAACTCTTAGGAAATGTAGAATTTGACACATATACACATAGATTCAAGTTACCACGCCACATTAGCACAGCGAAATGAAATTATCAAGACGAATACTAGAATAGTAGAAATAGTAATGGTATCAATATTTGGTGTAAACAATGACTGGAGAAAAAGAATGACTTCACAGAATAAAAACTCTAGGGTAATTTTAAAGCTCGAAATCTAAGAGAAGAAAAAAGTGAATACATCTGTATTATTAAGACATTCCGGGTCGTGTCATCCAACATCTCGAACCATTAGTGAGCTGCACCAACCAACATGGCTCTATCTCACAGTCAATGACTTCATAGACCTATTCCTATATCATTAAGCTTTACAAATCAAGGTCGTTGATCTCTTGGCATACATAATACATGTCCCAACCATCTTTTAGATAACAGACAATTGTTTCATCATTGTATCAGTCGAATTTCTGGTGATTAGTTTATTATTCGAGTCAAGAGTAAAAGTGATGAAATTAGTGGTTAAGACAAAGTTGAAAAATATGGACTTTGTAAGTTTAAATCATCGAGACTGTAAGATGTTCATAGTTTAAATCACAAACTGATCTCACTTAGATCATTATAGAAACCTGGGACTACTGAACAGATGTTTCATCCTAGCATAAAGCTCATCAGTAATGCACATTCACAATCCTACCATGAGCAATCGAACCCAGGATAATCGATCTCACATGTGAACAATTAACTTATAGAACACTGACTCATAATCCAACAGTTTGTGTGTCTAATTTCAATTGATTCATGATAATGCTCAATTCTGATCCATTACTTGATGAGGATAATTGTTTCACACTTGATATGGTTTAACTCCACTGGTCACAGCTTCTAACTCACGAGTAAATAAGTGTAATTATCTTGTAATCTTCAGTGATTATGTACTATCTCTTGTGTTTTTTGTCATTTCGTATTCCCTGTCCGGGTGATTTTGGATGAACTGAATATACGAAAATCATCTATACAATAATTTTTTTTAGCAAAGAAGTTAAAATTGAAAAAATTTTAAATGAAAACCATCTCAAAGTTACTGACATTTGTCTAGAGAGAGGATAAGAAAGACCGAATAATAGTTAGTTCTATGAGTACTAGATTGAATTGAAATGATAGAAGAAGAAATGAACAATAATATGTGATATGATGATTCATTTCAAGAAATATAACTTTATGGACATCCAAGGTAGTTTCATTAGTGGTATTGAAGGTAAGGCAAGTATAGTGCTACAAGTGGAAGGAATTTTGGAAGTGATAGAATTTATATAAAATGAAAATTGATGTCCTCAGTTTGCGTAGTTATTGGACAGTAAACGTATATTTATGTATTAGAATGCATAGTTGACAATATACATTCAGAATCAATTATATCCATAATCTTCTCTTATTTCAAAGTACTTTTCTTAGTTTCTTTTCAATATTTCAATGATTGTCGTAACTTTAACAGATGAATTGATTATAACTTGTGGCCTTGTGCCCCTGTCAATATATACATATATATAACGTAATGATACCGCCAATTAGAGAGCAGTAATTTATCGACCAGATCAATGACATATAAAACAAGTACGAGCAGCTTAGAGTCCTTATCGGTCCTGCTTCCCGCCTAGCTCTGACTATTAAGTCCAGAACACCAATCTCAACCTCCGTGTTATGAATCATTTATTTCAAACATAATAGGTTTATATACCAACCAGACAGACCACACTGTACCATAAAATAGGAAACGACATTTGTACAAGATCTAACCCAAAGTGGCTGTGAATGTGGGAGATAGTAATTGATAGACGGGGCATAACTCAAGAATGGTATAATAGCAGTTTATAATAGTTCATAGGTCCATAGGAACACGAATATGAATAGTTTATTTACTTAACGATTATACAATAAAAATATATCAGTTTAGGGGTTGTGGGATTGTTAAGTTTTTGTTTGAAATCATGAGTCAATTGAAGCTAGACCACCATGGAAAACCTGGAAGCACTGGACGGCCGTTTTGTCCTAGTATGGGACACCTCAACACCCCGCACCCCGCGAGATTCGAACCCAAAACCTATCAGTCTCGCGCCAGGCGCTTAATATATGTATAATATTATTCTATAAATGGATCCAAATAGTTACTATTCAATATTATCGTCAGGATATAACAGAACTTTTGTTTTAACTGAAGTTGAATTTTTTTTCCATACTAATTCTCATTACATAATCGATCAAAGATTGTTAAACTATTCACTGTTTTATAACTATGAAACCCTATGTACACCATTAGTGTACAATCAAGGTTCTCCAGTTCCACTTTGATGAATTCTCTATATCTATCAAATCCATTTAATTACCGGATATCATCTCATATCCTTTCAGTTTTTCGGAACACTGCCACTAAGACAAATATGAATCTAAATGTTTCAAGGAATAATTTTCATTGATGGTACTACACAGTCTGTAAATTCCTCCTGGACACTTTGTCCTGTTTTTTTTTATTATTATTAACTAATCAGCTTAAATCAACTAATCATTTGTCCATCATAATTTTAGATTGATTAAAAATGTATAGAAATAGTTATGCTTCTTTGATTTAATAATGTTTCACAGTTTCAAATCAGATATTATCATCTGAGGTTCTTTTAGCTTAGTGAGACATAAGGTATGGTGAAGATATAAATTTTGTTTATTGTTTCCAGTTGATTGTTACCAGTATAAATCCGTTCTTATTATCCTACAAATGTACCCAGGACGAGACGGCTGTCTACTGCTTCCAGGTTTTCAATGGTGATCTAGCTTAGATTGACACATGAATTCAACTATTCTCATTATTATCAGAAGGGGTTTTGTGGAGATTTTAGTAATTTCAATAGTTGAAGTCATGAGTCAATTGAAGCTAGACCACCATAGGAAACCTGTAAGTGCTGGACGGCCGTTTCGTCCTATTATGGAACTCCTCAACAGTACGCATCCACGATCCCCCGCGAGATTCAAACCCAGGACCTATCAGTCTCACTTGTGAGCGCTTAACCATTAGACCACTCAGCCGGCCGACATCCAATTGTGTTAATGTTTAACTTCAACCAATCATTATCTTGCAAATGTACCCAGTTATGTGATATATAATTTCAATTTGATATCTCATGTTCATTATGTTAAACAATGTTCTGAAATCTATGTCATATCATTTAATAGCTCAAAAGAGTCTTATTGAAGGACGAGATGATCGTCTACTGCTTCCACGTTTTCAATGCTGATCTAGCTTAGATTGACTCATGAATTCAACTATTAAAATTACTACAATCTCTACAAATTCCCATTGTGATCAGAATAAATAGTTTTTTTTCTGTCCTTTTGATAATTTTTATAAAATTGATTGTCATATAGATCGTGATGAACGGCAAGCACAATTGGATAATTCAGCGATGGCATTTGCTTTACGGGATTTTAATGCGCCTAAAATTCGGTGAGCTCAAACAATATAACAGTAATATTCACATTACATCTATAATATTATCTATCTATCTATCTAGACAGAAACGGGTTTCGAATAAATCACATCGGAATCATGATGATGATAATGCTAATATTAATAGTAATAATAATAATAATGATAATAATAATATTAAACATGTAACCCATCGTACCGCTATACGCAACAAATCAGATAGCATTAAGAAACATCAATGCAGACCATCCATTCTCAATTGTTGTATGCGATAATCTTACATTTCTTTGCTTATATCATCATGATCATTATTATCTGATTGGCAATGTTTTGATTAACCCTGATTATAATTGATTTATTTTATTCATTATTATTATATTTTCTTATGATTCCATTTATTTTTTAATTGAGTAAACTAATTTCTATACCTGCATAGTGATTAACCTTAATCTATGGCTGTGACCTTTCATGAAAAGTTTTGGCTTGTGTTCAGTTTTTTTTTAATCTTAGTTACATCCACAAGTTTTGTGTGTGTGTGTGTGTGTGTGTTTATGTTACCCAAGCACTTAAACTATCAACACAAAAACAGAAAACATATCAGTCCAGTTTAATTTTTCCTTTTTTTTAATGTTTTTAACCAAGAAATATGAATAATTTGTTTGTTTATTATTTTGTTTTTATTTACACCGTTTTCAATCAGTATATTCCCTGATTGCTGTGAATATTACCGAATAACAAAAGCAGTTTTTTGACTTTTATTTTTTTTACTACTGATTATGATAATATCAGTAGTAATATTAGTTCTCAGAGATTTTATACTCGTGTATGTGCGTGAATCAAAACATATTTCTAGAATCTATGTCCATAGTATCATGGTTTCCTAACATACTATAGGGTTGGTTGCATTAGAAGGGGGTTTTATGGAGTGTTCTCTCACTACAATGCTACTTGGGTTGCCTAAAATGGAGTAGATAAAGTGTGATTTGAAGTTGTGACATATCATTCGAAAGTCGAGTAAGTTAACCGTTAAACTATTGGCTCTGTCACTCTAATGATTATTACATTGACAATTGAGAGTTGTGAGCATCCACGACCCCGCCTGTCGAGATTCGAACACAGGACCTACTGGTTTTGCACGCGAACGATTAATCTCTAGACCATCCAACGGTGTTGATGTCTAACATCAACTAATCCAAGAAATTGAGCGACACATTCATCATTGTCATCAGTGAGTTACTATCTCACAATAGATCTGGTTGAACTCCACTGGTCACTGCTTCTCACTAGAACTCCAAGAAGTAGTTCTTGAAGCCAGTCTCTAGTGAGTATATGTTGATTAATATCAGAAGGGATTTTGTGGATATTATAGTAATTTCAATGGTTAAAATCATGAGTCAATTGAAGTTAGATCAACATGAAAAACTTGGAAGTACTGTTTGACGGCAGCTTCGTCCTATTGTAGGACTCCTCAGCAGTGTACACTCACGATATTTGTCTGTTATTTTCATGAGTAGTATAATATTTGTCGTGTAAAATGTGTAGATGATTGGAAGAACGATAGAAAAATTAGAAAACAGACAAAAACAAAACAGCAACACTGTATGAGTGAATCTCTGAGTCAGTAATTATTTAAAGTAATCTAACACCATGTGTTAAAAAATCAATAGTTTTGTTCCGTGAACTTATATTTCAATACAATATAAACTGTTTCAAACCGTATATTTAATATACATCTACGTTATTGATAATCAATTTTAATTTGTATGTTTAGCATTTAATATGTCAATGATTATGTTTAATGCCTATTACAATGTTTTAGTACTTAAAGGGCGGGTCTATAATTTATGGACGAACCAATCACGTATAAGATAACAGGTCTCGGATTTCGGCGCGAAATTCACTCATCCATTTGGCTAAATAGAGTTTTGGCACTACAGCTGATGCCAGTTTGTAATGAAATCCCTAAATCTAATTTTTGACCTTAATCATCAACTGTAAATCATAATTCTAATTCTTCACACTGGTTTATAACCCTCATTTGATCCTGGTCAAATACATAAACTGGTATGTGGTAAGCGAATATAACAGTAGCATTAATAATAGCACACATATCTAAGACTCCTGGAAAAAAACTGTTTCCCTGCTGCTTACGCCTGTTGCTCCTCGTGGAGCACCACCTTCTGGTTAACATCTTTTTATTAAGATTGTGTTTTGCGGTATTGGGTTACTGACCTTATGCTCAACCCTCCTCCTTTACCCGGGCTTGGGACCGACAATAACCCTAGAAGAGTTACAGGCAGAGTAAAAAACCATTACTATCCCATAAATTTGAAAACACTTTATTCTACAGTACACCTTGTATGTAAGGTAAGCAGTAAAGAGCCCATAAATGATTTGCTCATAAAAACATATTACTCCATTAAATTTATTTTGTGATGCTAATTATCGTCATACTGTCTTGATGAGTGTTAGGTAGTTTGAGGTAGGTGGCAGGAAACTGTGATTGTTTTAGGCCTCATGATAGTTGGCATTGGTTAAAAAGGTTTGGTTGCAAATTTGAAGGAAACCAATGCTACTTATAGCATTTGAACCAACGTCACATTACCTTATAGTCTGAATATGAATATCAGTATTAATAATAGTAGTAGTAGTAGTGTGGTGTATGCTACTGGTGTTGACACGTATAAGCAGTTTGTATCACTATTCGAAAGTGGAATGACTGGCATCAGAAGGTTGACAAAATCGAAGAGAAGAGTGGTTGATGTGGGAATGAAGGAACAACAAAGTTTGAGACAATTGATGGATATTTTGCAAATGAAGTATTTACTGTATAGTTCTAAAATTTTACTAAGAGGTTCTGCAATTTTGTATCCGCATACATATGTTTGTCCCAACTTGTGTTCTCGTTCATTACAGCAGTAGTAGTAGTAACAGTAGTACAGGAAGATCCACGACTTAAATATGGTCATAAAAGTAATTTATTTAAAATTATTGTTTGATTTGCGTCTGTTATGAGTCACTCGTGCTTCTGGCTTACGGGCTGGGACGCATCGAATAGCTAGCTTATTGGTCTACGGTCACAAGTCTTTGTTCCGTTCGCATACTATGTGAACTCGTAATAGCTTCAAACCTAGCAAATATGCAAAAAGGCAGTAAGCAGTTTATTGCTTATTAGAGCCGGTTATTTATAAGTTTTATATATAGAAATTTGAATTCTAAACAACGGTACATTGAATATATGTTTCTGTGTTGATTTGACATTATCATGTTATTTAGATAGATTCCACCTCAAGGGAAAGAGGAGAGGATACTTTTAAAACTCTATGGATATTTACTATTTTAGTTTTAAGTGAAAACTGTTGAATATAAAGTAGAATTTCAATAGTTGAATTCATGAGTCTATCTAAGCTAGACTACCATTGAGAAACCTGGAAGCACTGGACGGCCATTTCATCTTAGTATGGGACTCATCAGCAGTGCCCATCCATCGATTCATGATCTCACTCAAAAACTCAACAACCTATGCCACCATGTGCTCACTAGTGACTAGCTTTGATAGGTAATCCTCGGAGTTCTAATGAGAAGCCGTGACCAGTGGCAATTAGTTACTGAAGACAATGGAAGATGATTGTGTAATTTCGTGGATTGGTTAAAGTTAGACATTAACACCGTTGGATGTTGGCCCATTGGTGTTTACAGGTTAAGCATTCGTGCGCGAGACTGAAGTTCCTGAGTTTGAATCCCGCGTGAGGGATTGTGAATGCACACTGGTGAGGAGTCCCACACGAAGACAAAATGACCGTCCAGTGCTTCCAGGTTTTCCATGGTGATCTAGCTTCAATCGATTCATGATCTCAACTATTGAAATTACTATAATATCCACAAAAAACCCCTTCTGATACTAATCAATATATGCTCACTAGTAACTGGCTTCAAGAACTAGTTCTTGGAGTTCTAGTGAGAAGTAGTGATCAGTGGAATTCAACTGGGTCTGTTGTGAGATAGTAACCCACTGATGACAATGGTGGATGTGTCGCTCAATTTCGTGGATTAGTTGAAGTTAGACATTAACATCGTTGGACGCCGGCTCAGCGGTCTAGTTGGTTAAGCGCCTGGAGCGGGACTGATAGGCTCTGGGTTCGGATCCCGCGAGGCGGGATCGTGGATTCGCGTTAATGAGGGGTCTCGCAATAGGACGAAATGGCCGTGCAGTGCTTCTAGGTTCTCCATGGTGGTCTAGCTTTAACTGACTCATGATCTCAACTGTTGAAAGTCTAACAATCACCTATTTGTCTTAGATTGACTCATGAACTCAACTATTAAAATTGCTACAATCTACACAAATCCCAATTCTGCTAAAATATAATTGCCACATTTGTTAAGTTGGCGAATATGACAAACCACATTCCAATCAATTAAGTGTTCTTGACAGCAACTTGAATTCATTTCAAATATTCATACAAATAGCTCGTTTTCCTATCCTTTCATAGACATTAACCGGGAACAACTTGCTGAGTATAATCGAAATGAAGTACATATTCCTTTGTTTCATTTAATTCAATCTAATACAAATATCATCATTAATAACAAAACATTTTAATAGCGTTTCATAACTTCTTAACTTGTTATGACAGCTTATACAACACTAATTCTCTTTATGTTCTCATCTATTGATGATTTCATTTTAGTAACTTAACACTTTTTATTTGTAGTGCAGAGGTGTTCTGTAGATTGTTAGATTTAGCATTTCATATGGCATAGTGATTACAGTTAGTCATCTATTGAAAACCAAGAAGGTAAAGACAAATATCTCATCCTAACATACAAATCCCCCATTATAAGAATCTATGATCACATCGGGATCAAACTCAAGATCTCCGTGTCTCGGATCAGTTTCTTGATATTTATACCATTAGGATGTTGTTATACGGTGATTATGAACAGCCCTCATCAATTGAGACTAATGATATTTATTTCACATCCTACATAGTTTAGCTCCACTGACCTCACCTTCTCACTGGAACTAACTAAAGTCAAACCCTAATGTGAAACCATAAACATTTATTAGTTTTGAAAGTCTTTTGACGATTATGTATTTTCAGAAAGGGTTTTGTGGATATTATAGTAATTTCAATAGTTAATCGCTCGAGCGCGAGACTGATAGGTCCTGGGTTCGGATCTCGAGAGGCAGAATCATGGGTGTGCACTGCTGAGGAGTCCCATAATAGGGCGAAACGGTCGTCCTGTGCTTCCAGGTTTTCAATGTTGGTCTAGCTTTATTTGACTCATGATCTCAACTATTGAGATTATATATTTCTCGATTTAACTTTTCTTTCCTATATTGAATTTGTCCAGCTAAATTAAAAGGATTAAAAGTGTGTAGGAAACTTAACTATAAAGGACTGGATGAATGTATACAAAATTTGTCTATATACATTTTGTATTCAACTGGTTCCGTTGAGACTATTGTGGGTAATTACTTTGACCGTCTTGTATGTACACTTTGCAAATATGCGTAATTTGTTCAAGTTTCCACTACATATTATCCCTCTTTCCTCTTAGGCAAATCTTCCTTTTTGAAATGCACTTGCTTTTGGTTGGTGATTTCATCATAAACTGACATCTATGAATAGAACTATAAAGTCTCAGGATGAACTTGATAGCCCTTTTTAATCCTCATGTTGGACTCCTTAATAATAATGTCCTTACACTCAGCATCTTATATGTAATTGATTTGTGAATATTCAGGTTTCGTGGAGCACACAAGCACATTTAGATAACTGAGTTCGTTAATAGTGGTACAAAAGTTTAGCTTCGGTTAATTGTCGATATAGTATTCCTATAGGTTACATCTCACTTCAACTTTTAAAAAAATCTAACGGAGATCTGTTCACTTTAAATTGATATCGTTCAGTGGACTAGTTAGTGAAACTCTTGGTTGAACACAGCTACTTATCAATACATCTACTTGAATTATTCTCCATAAAACACTGGTTCAGGTAGTAACCGTAAATTTAATGGCGAATAAGTTCAAAAGAAGAATTTTCTAAAGTATCAGTTAGAAATTGTGACTTATCAAGTATACGATGTTGAAGATGCTAGAGGATGATCGTTTCAATATATCATGAATTGACCGACGTAGAAAATATTGATTGCAAGATGCTAATGTAGTGGTCTAAAACCACTACACTCTACTTGAAACCTGAATGTTCCGGAACTGATTATGTAAGCAATTTGTGGCTTTGAGTTGTTGAATTAGTTTTAGACTAAGACAGAAATAGCCGTCTAGTGCTCAGCGGTTTTCAATGACTTTTCACCATGCGCTTATTAGTAATTAACTTTATTAAATGTTCCCCAAGAGTTCTAGTGTGAATGTATAGGACGTGAAATAAATATCACCAGTCTCAATGAATAAGAACTGTTCATAATCACTAATTAACCAGAGTTAGAAATATAGATCACCGAATAACAACATCCTAATGGTCTAAAGACGAAGAAACTGATTCGAGACACGGAGATCTTGAGTTTGATCCCTATGTGATCATAGATTCTTATAATGGGGGATTTGTATGTTAGGATGAGATATTTGTCTTTACCTTCTTGGTTTTCAATATTTATATTTAACATCAGTTACTATAAGATACAAAATCACAAGTTTTTCATCAAATCGGTGTCATTCTGCAAAAAAGGACGTTTATCTTCAGACAATTTTTTTCGTACTAATTGTATTTTCTCATATATAAATCTCTCAAATGTCACTATGAAACTGTCTGTTCGTCTCTTCAGTAACAATATTGATCAATCTCTTACATCATTATCAACTAGTCTCATATTTCTAAAGAAAAACTGCTTTTATGTAATAACTTGAAAACCTCTATATAGACGGGGTGGTGTGGTGTGTGTGTGTGCGTGGGGGGGGGTCGGTTGGTGATTATCATGTTATCTATACTAGACTGATATCTTGTTTCATAATTTCTTAAAGTGAATTTCTTCCACCTATCCATGATTACTTTTCTCATTTGCAGTTATTGTAACAAATCCATTGGATTTAGTTGATATGTAGGTTGGAATCATTACTGACTTTATTGTTTCTGACCTTTTTGCTTTTGTTTTCTCTCTTCTCCTAAATGTTGAAATAACGATTGTGTAATAATAATGATAATGATACAAATGAATGAAATTTTGATTGAGACATTCAATGTGTTTTACTTTTTAAGTAGTATATTATGAAGCTTAGTTTTTAAGTTTCCCTATATATAAATATTAAAGTTACCTAAGATATTACTGATAAAGTTTTTTTTGTTTTTCTTTTTTACTGATATTCAAGACTGAATATGACTAGTGTGTAGATTAAGACCTTGACGCTATAGGTTGACTGGCTTAACCTTGAAGCTATTATGTATAAGTTCTAAGTGAGACCAACGGCTTGAAGTAGAGAAACGAAAACTATTCTGTCACCTGACAAGTACGCGAGTGAGAAAAGACAAGTCAACTGGAACAGTACACAAATGATTCCTAATTTCGGTTCACACAACGATTTCGTCCCGATTCAGATTAGTGCAATAAAGATATATGAATAAATAGATGACTAACATGACTCCAAACAATTAGGAAACTACAAATACATTGAAAACTAGGTATTAAGATAGAAAAATAGAGTACTAACGTGCCCCTTCTAGCCAAACAAGTTAGTAAAGCCTAGTAGGCCCTTTTGGAGAGAAACAGGCCACATCGAAGCATGGCATAACTACCGTAGCTAGAATAGCTGTTTTTGCAATCGGTTGGAGTTTTCCCCGTAGGGAACAACATCGTACATTCCATGCACCACTTTTATGAATGTTTTGTCGTTTTTCGATCCAGGAGTAATTGTGCCGGAATTCTTTGTGGATTTCGTAATCAGTTTGTGAATATCGGTGGAGTGGGTGATTAGCTCGATCTCTACCACCCGGGTTACCGATCACGTTAGTTCATGGGACTGAGTCCCACTATCCAGGAGGTACCATGAGGACATATGAGTTGGGCTTTGCCTCCTAGAGTACTAAAGGTTATATTTGAATTACAATGAACCTCAAAAGCAGTTATTATCAAGATAAGATTGTGACAAGAGAGAGACATACACATGTTTTGGTAATGAACAATAACATCGAACATAATACGAAAGGGTTTCAATGCAACATTTATGATGCGTGTATTACTTAGGTCTTAAGCCTTTTTCCACGGCCTTCGGAAAATGTTTCTAGCATTTTAGTCGATTTCCCCAACAATTGATTTTTTATACGAAGTGTAAGAATCATCTTAACATGATTGTCATATGTTAATTAATTGACATACCTAGATGCATTCTGTTCTAGCCTGGTATTTCCGGTCTGACCTTGTTACTTGAAGAAACGTAATCAATCAACCAATCAATCAATCCATTCCATCAAAGTATTAATTGAACACGTGAAAATCTCCCACGATGCTTCATAAACAATTGAGACAATTTTTCAACCAGTTCTTTTAGGAAAGAACGGTAATGTTCACTTCACTTACTTACTTACTTAGGCCTGTTACCCCCAATGTAGCATAGGCCACCGACCAGCATTCTCCAACCCAGTCTGTCCTGGACCTTTCTTTCGAGTTCTATACAATCGTTCTTCATTCTTCTCATTTCTGTCTCTATTTCTCGGCGTAATATGTACTTTGGTTTCCCGCTTCTCCTTTGGCCTTGAAGATTCCAAGTGTGGGGTTGCTTCGTAACGCAGTTGAGTGCTTTCCTCATTGTGTGTCCTATCCATTTCCAGTGCTTGTTGTTTATTTGTTCCTCCACTGGAATCTGGCTTGCTCTCTCCTATAGTAGGTTGTTGCTGATAGTGTCTGGTCAACGGATCCGAAGTACTTTGTGTTGGCAACTTTTAATAAACACTTGTATTTTCTGGATGATGGATTTCGTAGTACAGTAGAACTGTCTTGACATTTGTATTGACCTTGGTGTTGGTTGACAATTGTCTTGAGTTCCAGATGTCCTTTAGTTGTAAATATGCTGCTCTTGCTTTGCCGATCTGCGCCTTCACATCTGCATCGGATCCACCGTGTTCATCGACGATGCTGCCCAGATATGTAAAGGTTTTTATATCGTCCATAGCTTCTCTATCAAGTGTGATTCGATTGGTGTATGTTGTGTTGTATGGAATAATGTTGCTTTTTTCTTTGTGTATCTTGAGACCTATTGCTGCTGCTGCTACATTGGTCGTCTTCTCCTAAATTTGTTGTCGCATGTGAGATAGGAGAGCCAGATCATTTGCGAATTCTAGATCATCCAGCTATATCCTAGCTGTTCACTGTATCCCATGCTTCTCCTCAGGTGTTGACGTCTTTATAATCCAGTCTATCACTAGGAGAAAGAGAAAGGATGAGCGTAAGCAACCTCACCTGAATGTTCACTTCACACTTTACACAATATATGAATTTTGCAGAAAAATCTAAAAGTCACATTCTCGATTCTGATTGAATAATCCTTATATTATCTTTTTACCTAAGTCTTGTCTTTATATAGGCATTGGATAAAATTACAACTCAAGTCAATCTTCAATTATTTTGATAAGATTACAACATACATGTAAAGTTAACAGATTGAGATGATTTGATAAAATCTTATTTATCATACTGTAGTGAACGAGAACACAATTGGGTACAATCGAATGTATTTGAATACAAAATTACAGAATCTCTTATTAAAATCCTAGAACTATACAGTAAATACTTCATTTTCAAAATGTTAATCCATCATCTCAGACTCCATTGTTCATACGTTTCATTCTCTTTTCTAATTCTCATCTCCTCGATCTGCTTAACCTTCTGCCGCCAGTCATTCCACTTTCAAATGGTGATACATACTACTTATATCTGTCGACACACACTAAAATACGTTCAAAACAAAATTGAAATATCATCTTGAGGATTCTTTAAATGTTTATAGGGCTGTTATAAGGTTGTTAAAACATTACTGTTGTAGACTAATCATGTAAAGAGTGAGTTTGTTATTAACCGATGACATTGATTAGATTTTAATTATCATGAGAAACAGTCGAAGTCTGGTAACATAGAACACTGAATTACAATTTACGGGTAGAAAAGTAACGTATTCTATACGAAACCTGAAGGTTCAAGTTATGACGAAACAATTGGAGAAAATCAAACTACAACGTCAACTAATCTCCATCAACTGTCCAACTAATTTTCATTCCATTGTATTTTGTTAGACTCCCAGTCTTATCACCTTTGCTATTGTAGTCTTTGAGTGATTATACTGAAAGTTTTCATAAAAAGCGTTAGCATATTGCCTTTTTCGATTCTGTTGGAGGTTACTATCTAGCGGGAAACAATAAAATATTGTAAGAACTGTTAACTAGTAACCAATCATATAGATTTACATTTAAACCTGTATATAACTGTATTGAGGTTTTGAAGGTGTTGCATTCTCTAAACTGAACAACTTAATTATCCAGCTTTCATTGGTGACTTTCCGAAACAGGTTCAATAACACCTATATCAATTGAAAGTGGGTTAACCTATGGACCCAGAATAAATCTGAAAATTCTATGAAAAGGCTAAGAAAACTTTAAATGGGATTCGTTGATCAGAATAAAGTGATAAGCTAATGCGTGCAGACAAACACATCCGTCTACATCAAATGCAAATGATGTATCTTGTACGTAAATCTTATTTCACTTTACTTTACTTATAAACTACTTTGCATTATGTTTTGAAACACCCTGGTTTTAGCTTCAACGTGATTTTTAATTTTGAGTCAGATAGCGGAGCCAACTGTATCATGTGATCGAAAGTCGTTATTTTTAAGTCTGTTGAGCTACTGCTCAATGTGGTGTTTAGTTCTCCTGATCTGATCATCTATTACCGAGTACTTGGTGCTCCATACAACTTGACCGATTCATCCAATCGGCTGTACAAAATGCATGTACGTTCTCAGTATATTCAATGGTTTGTATCTAGTCTTATTATTCCAGGAGTTCACACTTGAGAGTTAATGTTAGCTTGCAAAAAATTACAAACTACCCACCTTAGTTATAAGTTATCTGCTACCTTATCGAATCAATCCTCTGTAGATTGGCTTCCCTATTCACCCAAATACCTTCAAATGAAAAGAATCTTCTTCAATAATTCACCTTCTCCTGCCAAATTTCATAACCATGTATAGACTCATATCGATCGTAGATGCGCACTACTGGTGAGTCTCATACTAAAACGAAACGGCCGTCCAGTGCTTCCAAGTTTTCAATGGTGGTCTAGCTTAGGTTGACTTGCGAGTTCAACTGTAAAAGATCATATAGACCTACCATTTAATATAAATGCCAGTCTACAGGTTATATTTTTTACGGGTTCTCTTCAGAGAAGTCAGGGTAGCAGATTTAAGAATGCTTATGACTTGAACGAATACAATGCGACTATTAAAGTAAATGATGTGTTCAATATTTTAAACACATCTGTCTTATCCTACATTTCATTCTCCTTGAAAATTTAAGTAAGGTAAGAACAATAGTTATTCCAGAATACAGTAAGAGATATAACTGCTAACTCAATAATTCGTGGTGGCAAATATTAGAATTTTTTGTAACCCTTTTGGTTGAATTCAACAATCATAAGTTTCTCTTTCCTCTACACTATTTTGCCTTCTTTCCTATTCATCCTGGTAATTAAACTTCACTGTATTGATGTTATATGGTGACTTGCACTAATGCACATTCCTTTCAGCATGCACATTGTTTATGACTGATTGATTGACTGAGGAGAAATAGACAGATTAACACAACATAGATTCTTCACTAAAGTGACATTAACACAGTAATCAGTGAATCAAAAAGTTATTTTAAATTATCAACATAATTCACGAAATTGAACGACACATCCACCATCGTCATCTGTGAGTTACTATCCCACAACAGACCCGGTTGAACTCCACTGTTCACTGCTTCTCACTAGAACTCCAGGATATATATCTTAAAGCCAGTCACTAGTGAGCATATGTTGATTAGTATCAGAAGGGGTTTTGTGGAGATTGTAGTAATTTCAATAGTTGAGATCATGAGTCAATTGAAGCTAGATCACCATGGAAAACCTGGAAGCACTCAACGACCCCGCCTAGCAAGATTCAAACCCAGGACCTATCAGTCTTCTTAATTTGAAAAACACATCATACAATGGTAATTAGCAAGGTGTATAGAATGTAAAAGTAAGTGAAGTTAAGATTTAAATTTGCTACAGGCGAGAAGTGACAGTCCTAGAATGTTTTCAA